GGCAGTGACGCCACCATTTGTCAGAGGTGACGCTGATTAAGCCCACGCATGATTCCCTCGGTCTCAACAAGGAGTGTGACTCTAGGTTTAGCTATTTCGGGTAAGTACCTACTTGGGGTCCTGAGCACAGCAGCGTTTGCTTTGGTTTCCGCACTCTCAACTCTATCCATCGAGCTGTGTACATTTCTACTAGGTACGGGCTAAGATACTGCTGCGATAGGTACATGCCTATGCTAACAGTACTAATTCCTGGCAATCATGCTTACAAAGGCCAGTACTATAAGTACTGCCTGTGTGCGCTTTTTAAGGAGTCGCACCCAGTATGCACTCCCAGTCTGTGTGAGGTAACAGTGATTAGCATTTGGATAATATTAGTGTGTTTGTTAATAATGGAGAAGTCCTACCATGCCCTTTTGTCATGCAGTTTGTCGTGTATAGACTAACATTTCTGCAGCTCATGCTACCACTACTTTTTTAAACTCCTGAATAACAATATAGCTGAATGTTTATAGTACTAACAATTCCGAGTAAGTACATTGAGGCCCGGGGCACATCAGGGCATGCCTCGGTTTCCGCCCTCTCATCTCTATCCACCAGAAGCTGTGCCATATTTACTAAACTTGGGCAATGATACTGCTGCTAGATGTCATATGTCACTGCTAAGAGTACTAATTCTATCAATCAGACTTACTAAGACCAGCGTATAGTATATTTTACTAACAGATTCCTATAATTGTATCAACAGCTGACATGCATCCTATTATTGCAACAAGCATATCAGATGGGAATATGAGCTTACGCACATTCGAAGTTGCATCTGGGCTGATTTGCAAGACACCCGGGCGACCGTTCACTTCCGATAGATGAGTGAGGCTCAAAGCAACCTCCTACTGTATACCCAATTGACGTACACGTGGTGGTAAAGGCAAGTCGGTCGGACGCAAACATAGTTCAACTGGCGGTCATTTGAGATACTTCGGAACGCTGGACGTAGAGGGCCGCCGAGAGACCTTCATTCGGTGTTCCTGGGGATTGCGCTATTTCTGGGTGCATGCATGTGTTTCGCCCATCTAGTAGAGGAACATTAAGTTCCACTTTGCCCAGGAGCTCGCAACGCAAACCCTCCAGACCGTCA